TCACCCTCTTTTATACTTATACAGCGGCTCGTCTTTGGTGGAAATTCGACTGTATCTAAACGTTCTCGAGTCACTGTCCGGTTGAAAATTGTATGTTACCACCGATTACGAGAACTGAAGCAGTTTTTCTGAAACCACGTGCACCATTCAAACTGGCTTCCTTCAACGTTCGCACACTAGTGCAGGTCGGACAACAGATAGGGCTGGCTATGTCTTTGGAAAGTCTTAATATTGATGTTTGTTGTCTATCCGAGACCCGTATTCAAGACTCTGGCGAAGTACTACAAATTCGATCTCCATCTGTCGCTTCGAAAAGCTTGTTTTACGTGCGCTTATCCGGGGACCCTGTGGCATCTTCGTTTGGTCTTGCTGGCGTTGGTGTCGCACTAAGCGCTAGAGCTGAAGCAGCACTAGTTGATTGGATCCCCATTAACAGTCGGCTATGTGCTGTTAGATTAGAAAGTTCCATCAAAGTGAGAAGAAATCGGCGTGAGAAACGATGTCTTTTCGTCATCTCTGCCTATGCCCCGACAGATTGCAGCCCGGATGCAATCAAGGATGAGTTTTACCACTAGTTATCTGTTCTTCTCCAGAAAGTGCGTTCGACAGATATTGTAGTACTAGCCGGAGACTTGAATGCTCAGGTCGGGTGTCTAGGCACAGAAGAGAGTCGTTTAGGTGGCCGATGGGGACTTGTTGGTGGCAGGACAGATAACGGGGACCGTCTACTGCAACTTTGCACAGACCACAACCTGTTTCTGGCCAGCACTAACTTTCGGCACAGTCATCGCCGATGTGCCACCTGGCGTCCTCCCTCTGCATCCCAAGCCTGGACTCAGATTGATCACATCGCGATCAGCTACCGCTGGCGTGGTTGTGTAAAAGACTGCCGCTCCTTTTGGAGTACCTATCTGGACTCTGACCATGCCTTGGTCTACGCCAATCTTGCCTTACTTTTCAGTGGACAACGAAGTGACCACCATCAAAGGATTGATGTCAGCAAGTTGGTTGCAACTTCTGTTGCAAGTAAGTATCGAACAGAGCTAACCTCTAGGCTAGCTACCACCCCACCGAAAAGTATAGATGAGCATTGGTTGCAATTGCGTGACGCCATGAAAATGGCGGGAACAGTCAGTTGTGGGTTTGCGAAACGTCCCGCTTTTAAGCACTGGGTTTCTTCTGGTTCCTTACAACTCATTGAAGCCCGTCGGTCCACTCCGGGTGACCGTGAGTTTGACCACAAACGAAGGATGTTACGTAGGGAAATTGGGCAAAGCTTGCGTAAGGACCGAGAAGCCTGGTGGTCGGAGCGTGCTAATGAGCTGGAAGCAGCAGCTGCATCTGGTAACTACCGGAAGCTCTTCCAGCTCATCCGAGCCACTGGCAGCAAGAAGTCTGGTGTGAGTGAAACAATCTGCGAGGATGATGGGATGCCAATCACTAACATCCATCGACGTCTTGGACGATGGGCAGAATTTTTCGAAGGGCAGTTCAACTGGCCTGCTGCTCCGGCAACATCGGTCAGACTGTCCTGCCCTCCATGGCCGGTGACGACTGATCCACCAAACGAGGAGGAAGTCCGCAAGGAACTCCAACTCTTGAAGCGTTACAAATCACCTGGCCCAGATGACTTACCTCCGGCTATTTTTAAAGATGGTGGTGACTTTTTGACTAAGCAATTGACGACATTGTTTACAAAGGTTTGGGAATCAGAGAGTGTACCAACGTCATGGAATGAGTCGATAGTTGTCCCTATCTTTAAAAAGGGTTCACGTCGTTCCTGCAACAACTATCGGGGGATAAGTCTACTTCCGATTGCGTCCAAGCTATTGGCTCCCGTCATACTTCGTAGGTTGTTCAAAACCCGAGAAAGATTGACTCGCGAGGAGCAGACTGGGTTTCGTTCTGGTCGAGGTTGTATTGATCATATCTTCACCCTCCGCCAAATGTTAGAACATCGCTATACTTATCAAAGCCCAACAATCGTAGTGTTTCTTGACATCAGGGCTGCCTTCGATTCGTTGGACAGGACTGTTCTCTGGGATTGTCTATTGAAGAAGGGTGTGCCTGAGAAGTTTATTAACATCCTAAAAGCCCTATATAAAAACACCTCAGGAAGAGTGAGGGCATACAACCACCTCTCTCCATTGTTCCATTCGAGTAGTGGGGTTAGGCAGGGTTGCCCAATCTCACCATTCCTCTTCAACTTTGCCATCGATGACATTCTGGAAACAGCTCTGATGAATGTAAGTAATGGTGGTGTGGATCTGTTGCCTGGAGAAAGACTTCTCGACCTTGAGTATGCGGACGATATTGTCTTACTGTGCGATAATGCCCAAGGCATGCAATCCGCACTTAATCAGTTGGCAATCTATGTCCGTAGGTACGGTTTGTGCTTTGCATCTTCGAAGTGCAAAGTACTTCTACAAGACTGGCAGGATTCCAATCCTGTACTCACCCTGGATGGTGAGCAGATAGACGTAGTCGAGAAGTTCGTGTATCTGGGTAGCTGCATAAGTGCTGGTGGGGGTGTGAGTGATGAGATCAATGCACGTATAGTGAAAGCCAGAGTGGCTTATGCCAATCTGGGCCATCTTTGGCGCCTTCGTGATGTTAGTCTGGCTGTAAAAGGTCGGATCTACAACGCGTCGGTGAGAGCAGTTTTGCTCTATGCTTGTGAAACCTGGCGTCTCCGAGTTGAGGACGTTAGACGACTCTCTGTGTTCGATCATCGCTGTTTCCGAAGGACTGCTGACATTCAGTGGCAACACCATGTCAGTAATGCAGAGGTTCGGCATCGTGTGTTTGGGCACAGAGATGATAATTCAATTGGTGTCACCATCTTGAAACACCGACTTCGGTGGCTTGGACATGTTCTACGAATGTCGTCCCAGAGAATTCCACGTCGTGGATTATTTGCCGACTCTGGGACTGGTTGGAAAAAGCGGAGGGGTGGTCAGTGCATGACATGGTGTCGTGGTATGAAAGAAAGCTGCAAAGGACTGGCTTCTATCGGTCCTTTACGACTCCCTGGTTGAGGTCTGAGAGATGGTGCTACACAGTGGCTAGAGACGTTATCAGATATGGCTCAGAATAGAAGCCAGTGGCGATCCTGCTGTAACCTTTTACTTTCTTCATAATAGTGGTTGTGTCTCCCTTACTTGAAAGATTTCTTCTGATTGTACCTTTCTGTTCCATCGTTACGACCACACTACCTTTTGTGGTCCTTAGTTTTTTTTCTATCTCTCTTCGAATTTTCATTGTTTTGTGTGGCGCATATATATTGGTGCTCTCTTGTACCAATATTTATGTGTTCAAATAAATAAAAATAAATAAATTTGATGAAGACGCTGATAAAATGCAGAGTATTCTGGTAGCACTGAGCAACAATGCCAGAATGTTTGGAATGCGCTTCTCTCCCTCTAAATGCAAGTTGTTGCTTCAGGACTGATCTGTGTCAACACCTGAACTAAGGATAGGGAGTGAAGTAGTCGAACGTGTTGACAACTTCACTTATCTTGGAAGTCTGATCAGCCCTAACGGGTTGGTGTCTGACGAAATCTCAGCATGGGTTCGAAAAGCTCGTTTGGCTTTTGCCACCTTACGTCACCTATGGCGATCACCGGGTAAGTAACGATGGTAAATCAGTTGACGAGGTTGTGAATCTTCATCGACTGAACAGCGATTACCACGACGTGCAATGCTAACCGGTGTTGGAGATGGTTGGAAGGAAGTTAGGGGTAAACAAATCAAAACACGGCATCACTGCTTGAAGTCACTAACTTCTAGTCTGAGCTATGTTGGTAGATGCAGACTACTTGGTTGTAGTCCGCGTGACTATCGTAACCAATGGTTGGAGACTCTTGGTGACATTACTCAGAATCGATCACAATGGTGTTGGTGTATACGCTTTTTGTCTTCCCTTAATCTGAGATTAAAATCGCTTCATATCTTTCTTTCTACAAACTAATTCTTTCCTTATATGAAATCTTTCTTTTATATATTACCAGCTCTGAATTAACTACTTTCACGATTCCGGTGTTCATCTTGTTGTGTTGATGAGGTGGTGCAACTTGGACCGATGCATATATGTGCCTGGTGCTACGTTGTAGCTGACTGACTGCAAACGTTTTACTTAGTGAACAGACTTATGATATTTAGCAAAGAATACCAATAACAATGGTACATTGATATTTTGTCATAATTTGCATTATACAATATGAAACTTATTAAATATTAAAGAGTACATGTACCTAGGGAGTGTAGTTACTCGTGAATCAAAAACCAAATAAGGTTGAAGATTTATTTCAAACTTTATACTCGAGTTGCATTGGAGTGAATTCAGAATATAGCTTCAAGTAGAGCTCACGTTCTAAAACCTTAAGTAGATTTATGCGACACGATGTAAGAACTAAAGTGATGATAGTTTTTAATATTTCTTAGATGCCGAAATGCCTAAACCTCTTTTCATCTTCCTGTTGTATATTAGGCCTTGTAAAATCTTATCACATGTCGATGAAATTAGTATTAGTGTCGTTTTCAAAATCTACATCATTTGGAGGAAATTTTCTAAAAACTTTTGAAGGCTGATATAAACTACTAACTACTGAGTCATCACCTCCTGAAGTTTTCCACCAGGGTGTATATTACTAACAATTTCTAGACAAATTTTCAAGAAGACTAGACCTTCATGGTATAATTGTTAATGGCTTTATTCAACACAATATATTCCCAGCGGTAATTCATGCAGGTCACTTAACCTTCGATCTCCGAAATTTGAAAGCACGAACCACAAGCGAAGTACGGTCAAAAATTAGCATTATTCTTACTGAAAATGATAAACAATGTTTCTTTAGCATACGTGACCGCATACATGGGTCGTTTGACCTCGATTCATAAACATAGTGCTGAGATTCTATTTCTTGTTGGCCATATGTAGTAAATTCAACAACAAAAGTGTGTTAAACGATAAAGTAACCTATTAACACAGCAGAACTTACCAATAGACTACCTGTAATCTCTAAATAACAGTTATCACAAATAAAAGAACACGATATCTCGTCCAGAGTACATGATATAATTCGGAATCGTGGGTGGGACCTAGGGAACATTTCCTGCAGAACCTGCTGATGATGCTTAAGCTTTTTGATGCACGACATAACATAAAAACCAGCTGACCTTCAGGAGATGCCAGCGCAAACCTGGAGACCCGAGAAGTTGCGTTCTGAATTCGAATATATGCTCAATGTACAATGTCAAATCGAGACCATGATCACAGCTTTCAAATAGACAAATAAGAGCAATCTAGCAGACTTTTCTCGAAATGAAGTCGATTTTAATTTGCTTATTATGGTAGAAATCACTGAATAACTTGGCCGAATATACTCGTCCGAGAGCCAAGATCATTTAGTTCACATGGTTGTGTTTGACTGTTATATTTGCAGATATTATTATTAATAATGGCTTTATTCAATAGTATATTTTGATGCAATATAGAATTCTCAGCACAGGGTATTTCATATTTAATTATTCGTGCATTTTTATACCAACTGCACTCCGTTCCAGTTCCTTGAAACTCGTCAATTTATTGAAGCTCTTGCCAACTTTTAAAAATACTATACTGTCAGGAGAAGAAAGATATGAACCACTGAAACTGTACTTATCGTAAACATTGAACACCATATTAATGGAATTGTACAACATCAAGGAAGCAAAAAATCTTACCATAGATGGAAATAACAAATGTGTTCCTTGGTCATGCTCTTTCCCTCGACTCCAAAGTAGGGCTTACTTCGTGATGCATTTTGATTTCCGAGATGTATGTTCTATCCCACTTCCAACGTCTTTTCCTAATTTCCTATTTAGCTGGAAGCTGGTTTGTCCCCACCCACAGTAGGGTGTTACTGGTGGTATCCGGTCAGTGGATACTCAATATCTTGCGTAGACAATTATTTGTAAATACTTGTACTTTTTTGATGATGGTTGTAGTAGTTCTCGAAGTCTCGGCTCCTTACATTAGAACTGTCTTGTTCGTATTGAAGATTCCGACTTTGGTGTTGGCTTGCAGACAGTTGTTTTGAGTTCCATATGTTCTTCAATTATAATAATTCTGTCCTTACTTTCCCAATCCTTACCTTTACGTCTGCATCAGACCCTCCTTGATCATCGATAGTGCTGCTGACTAGGTACGTAAAAGATTCCACCTCTTCTAGAGTTTATCCATTAAGTGTTATTGAGTTGGTGTTCTCCGTGTTGTGTTAGAGGATCTTGGTTTTTCCTTTGTGTATGTTGAGACCTGCTGATTCGGAGGCTTTTGCTACAGTAGTTATCTTCATCTGCAATTGTTGGTGTGTATGGAATAGAAGGGTCAGGTCGTCTGCAAAGTCAAATCTCCCAATTGATTTTGAGATGTGCATTGTATTCCGTGCTTCCCGTTAGATGTTAGAGGTTTTCATAATCCAGTGAACCACCAGAAGAAAGAGAAAGGGTGAGAGTAAGCAACCGTGCCTCGCTCAAGTCCTCACTTTGAAATCATCTCTCAGCTGTCCTCAATGCACCACATTGCATTGTAGTCTGTCATATAAATTCCGGATGATGTTATTATCTTCTCAGGTAGCCCTTAGTGTCGAAGAAGGTTTCATGAGGTTCTTCTATACACACTGTTAGATGCTTGCTCATGCTCAACGAAGTTGACGTAAATTTGCGAGTCCTACTCAGCTTATTGTTCAAAGATGATCTCTAGTGTCTCAATTTAGTCTGTGCACGACTAATCCTTACGGAATAAAGGTTGTTGGTCGCGATGTTGGGCGTCTACCAAATATTTCATCTTGTACAGCAATACTGTTGGAAACCTTTCCTTTTACCAATAGTGTTATAATTCCTCTATAGTTTCCACATTTGTTGAAAACGTCTTTCATTGACATCTTGATGAGTTACTCTTTTTCAAGTCCTTCACTACTTGTTCTTCCTCCCCATATATTCCTGAATATAAAGTAAACCATACTTACAGTTACTTCTATGTCTGATTTCATTACTTCAGCTGGCATGATGTCGTTGCTTATTACTCTACCAATTCGATTCGTCTGATGGTCTCCTGATTCCCTCGATTGTTGGTAATAAGGCGGTATGCTCTGATATCTGGACTACCTATTTCTGCCATCTAATTATTTCAACAAGTTATCTGTTTTTTCATTATTTTTAACTTATTATGTCCATTATTCGCATAACCTATTCAGGCACTTTATGAAAAACCTACGACCTGCACAAGTTACAAAAAAGTATTATAAAAAACACCGTGGTGGTTGGCAATATGCGTTGAAGAAAATGAACATTAATCGTATGTCGATTCCTGAGCTGCTAAATTCTAACTGCCGATCACTAATCAACAAAGTGGACTATCTGCAATTCCTACTAAGTCAAAATATGTATCGTAATTGTGATGTCATCACAATTCAAGAATATTGGTTAAATGATTTACAGAACGACTGGCTAAAATCAATATGTTATTTCAAAATTTATCGTCAGGATCGATCAAACAAAAGAAGAGGTATGGCGGCGGTGTAACTACGTTTGTAAACGTGAACTGGCGTCGATCTTCGTTTGTGTGTTCTAAGTTTTAAAATGACTTTATCGACTGTCTAACATTAAGATGTCGTCCAAAACATCTGAATAAATACAAATATGTTTATGTTACCAATATCTACGTGACTCCAGACTGCACATCATCTGCGCTATCTGTTTTTGCTGATGAATTCACTGAGTCGGCTGTTACTGCCTTCAGTGATCCACTTTCAGTTGTATGTGGTGATTTCAACTCATGTGACTTTAGCTTTCATACGTCAGAACGTCAGCAAAACGTAGTAGATTTTCTTACCCGCTTGGATGCTCATTTAGACTTCGTTTTCATTAATGAAGTGGGTATATATGCGGTTCGTAAACGTGCTCCATTGTTTAGATCGGATCACTGCCTAATTCGTGTTTACCTAAAGTATATGGAAAGCAGGAAAAGAGTACACTCTTACATCAAACCAAAAAAGTCAAATATAGGAATTACTCAGGAAGAAATATCCGAAATCTGCAAAAAATGTTTCACACGACTAACTGGGAAGCTTTGTGCCTCTTTATTATAAGAGTAAATGTTGCGGACGATAGATGCCAAAACTCATATTTTTAAATTTTATCTTATCGATCAACTTATTGATTAAATGTTTAAACATTTGTATTGGGGTCAATTGATGAACTGATCGATTAAATGTTTGTATAGCAGTCAGTTGATGAACCTATCAATTAGATGTGAAAATAGGTCAATTGATGAACTATCGATTAAATGTGCAAATAGGTCAATTTATGAACTCATTGATTAGTGTTTACAATTTTTCTATGACAATATCGATTGTAAATATTGTATAAATACGCGTGACTTGACTTGTTATCTGCTGTGTGTCTGCAGAATACACTCCTACACCTTACCCAGACTTCTTGATCGAGTTAGCAGAGTTGGGGGACAACGAACCAGAATAGCTATCGAGTCGCTGAGTCACTGATCGTTCGTTCGTTGAGTAAGACTCATCAGTAATAGCATTCAAGCGAATAACAAATCATAACAGAAACTTTGTCGAATGTCTTGCAAATAGAGTTCTTAAGATATGCTCAGTCGACACAATTGATATGGTATTACAACATATTCATAATAATTTGGTTGAATTGGGATATCCGCTCGGTTTCCTGAAGAAACACTTGCGGGTACAAAACAATAACATAGTGACTTTGACTTCTAATAAGAAACTGCTTTTCTTGAAGCTGCAATTCAATTGTGATTTAGCTAGCTATGTATACGGGATAGATTGACTAGATTAGTAAAGAGAACGTTTAATGCTGCCAACTTCTGCCTATCGCATTCGACTCGATCGATGGCGATTCCGTAATTGAAGGATGTTACCTGGTTATGCCACTTCTATGTGATTCTACGAATCCAGCTGCTTCTGTCGAGGAAGCTATATTGTGCGCACTACCAGGCAAATGAACCAACGAGTTAGCGAACAACTCTCTTCGTGGTTGGGAAAAGGTTACGTCAAAACAATACGCAGCTCGGTTCTATCACACTTGATCGATAGCGGTCATAAAGTGGACAGAAACAGGTCGTTCAAAGTTATTTATCGTATTCCCACTAGTTTTCCTTATGGTGTTCGATCTCATCTCTTATATATAGCAGAAGCTATAGGAATCCGAGCCAACAAGCAAAGTCTTTGTGTTCAGAAGAAATTTGTAACACCCTTATCTCTCCCCAGGCCCTAAGTAATAATTGAATTTATTTATTTATTCTTTTTCTAACTTTCTCTTTGTTTATTATTTTTCTTCACCCCCTCCTACCACTTTATTTTCTCTCAACTATACGTCTCATGGTCCAAGTATCTGAACATTTCTTATTACGTCATCTTATAATTTTATAATTGTTATATTAGTTTCTATATTTTTCTAATTATTGACCTATTTCCGATCATGTAACATTTATTTTAAACCTTTATTATTCTTATCAAAACGAATGCACCTGTTGTCACACCATCAATTTGTACTTTTCACGTTTCATTTATTATGTAATCGTTTTCATTGTTATCATTGACTTATGAACTACCTTGGTTGGTTTAGTAATTTCGTATATGCATATAAATATTACTGTATATCAGAGTAAAGCCTGATGAGGATCTAATCGAAAACAATATTGTTCGCTTATATATGTTGTTCTAACTGGGAATTGTTCACAGATGACTCACCGGAAACCATTAGTGATGCTATCACTTGTCACCTTAAATTCTGTGTTGATGTTTGTTGTCCCACTGAAACCATTTTTGTAAGTTTTGATCGACTTTCATCTTCAAAACTAAAACGACTACGGAGGGTGAAGGAAAGAATATACAAGGAAAAAACTCTAATGAAGTTCGTAAGCTAAATGGTCTGATAAACCTAGAGATTAAACGTCAAAAGTCTATGTTTACTCAAAAACTCTTGTCTTGCCAAACTCTGCAAGTATATAGAAACTCTTTAAAGAACTTACAGGTGACTGACAGTTTAGAAGCCATAACCAGCTGAATGTTTGTGACTTAAATAAATATTTTGTACGTCAGTCATCTGATATGATGCTCCCTTTATCCACAGGTTTAAAGAATAGCTGTGTTCCTAGTCTCACTGAAACTGATGTCCGAAGATGTCTCCAGTCACTTAATTCATCCTGATGTTTGGGACCTGGCGGTATCCCAAACCTCATTTTTAAGAAATGTGTTGATATCCTGTGTTATCCATTCACGACTTTCTTTAACAGATCCTTCTAATCTAATCTCATACCGAAAATGTGGAGAATGATGAAGATAATCCCTGTACCAAAGAAAGTATCTGGTGATAGGAACGTGAAATTTAGACTTATTGCAATAACTTCACCCTTCCTCAAAACAATGGAAAAATTATTAATACTTCCACTTCGGCCTGCAATAAAAGAGCATAATGATCCGTATCGGTTTGCTTACAGATGCAAAGGAAGCACCTAAGATGCTGTTGCTGCTCTGCATTACAACATGGTGTTCAACTTAGAAAAAGGTAAGAAGTATGTTCGATGAGCTCTTCTGGACTATACTTCAGCTTTTGATTCTGTACCAAGACAATATCTAATTAACAGGTTAATCAGCGTCAACACTGACAGCTGGATAACCAACTGGAGGAAAGTGTTCAGAGTCTCTACTGTTTTTTGAAGGTGTATCACAAGGAGCTGTTCTTTCACCACTTTTTTATCTTTTTTTCTGCATGATCTGCCATTTTCTACAAAAAACACTTTTTTGAAATATGCGGATGAGCTCACTGTGTGTATGCTTATATCTTCCTCTTTATATCCCATAGAAGTGAATGAGTTTTGGCCTCGTATTGATTGTTAGTCTGTTGGTAATGGTCTCATACTTAATATGTCTAAATGTCAAGCTGTTAACTTTAGCATGAGGCATGGACGGAATCTAAACAACATTTTGAGATCCCGTAATGCTTGTACCATCGGAGACTCTTTGATAAAAACAGTGTCGATGGTCAATTTTCTCAGTGTTACCTTCTCCTCTGATCACTCTTCGTCTTCTCACGTTTTATTGTTATCGAAGAAGGTCTTCCATCTGACTTACTACATAAAGAGATTGCATGCTCTTGGGGTTACTCGTCATTTACTCTTACAATTTGTCAATTCTTGCATATTACCTATTATTACGTACTGTTCTCTATTATTCCTCCGGGTTTTTGAGGAGAGACTGCTGTATTGTGGAGAGTGGTGAAGGCAGTCAGCAAGATGTTTGATCAATCTTTCGAGGTCATAATTAATGTGGTTGTGGATAGACATCTAAAGTCATGCAAACTCCTGGTAGGTGTTATTTTATCAGATATTAACCATCCTCTTCACTCGTATCTTTCTCCTTGTATATATCTTTTGGCAGAACGAGACATAATTACATTAAAATCCATGCACGCAAGCAAAATTATAAAAGTTCTATAATACCTTACCTAGAAAATATACTCTGTGACGAATAGGTTGTTAGAGTTAACCTAGTCAATAAACTTCATTCTTAACATGTCTCTAATTTGAAAAGTTGTACAGTTTTTCGTTTTTTCATTTTTTGGTCTTTGTTTCTGTGCTTTTTTTGTGTAAAAATGTTGTTGAAATACCCCGTTCTGAGAATTCTATATTGTGCCAAAATATAATATTGAATAAAGCTATTAATAAATAAATATGCATTAAGGTTTGGGTGCTGTACTTCGATATCCCGTGGTTTTGGTGGGGCCGGTCTATCCAAGTGTCTTACTTATCTGTACCATCATTCCTCAATCTCAGTGATTGACTTGCCTTCCTTTTTATTTTTTGGTTGTTCTGGTTTATTATATATTACCTTCCAGCCTCTTACTTACTTACTTAAGTAAGTAAGTAGTATTTCCCCCCAGTTCCGTTGTGTCATAGATCTGTCTCATATTTCCTTCTTTCGCAACTTTTTCCGTTGTTGTCGCTATCTTTTCCATGTGTTTCCGCTTGCCGGCCCTAATACTTGTCTTCACTTGTTTATTTGTTTCTGTGTATTCATCTTATGTCTTCATTATCCCTGTTTTTGTTCGACTATTGTTGTCTGTCATCTATTTGTTCTTCCTTTCTTGAATCATGTCCAGGGTTTCGATGGAGATCCATTTGTTATGATGATGCCCAGAACCTTCTGACGAGTTGAAACTAGTGCTTACTTGACCCCTTTCCAGTTGTTCCCCATAGAATTCTCATCTTCTCTGAGTAGACCTTGTAAGACTTAGAACCTGATGATGAGAGTTATCTTGAATAGATTGAGTTTGTCAGTATTTCAAAGGAAAATTGCATCGAACCTTTGTGTTGCTGTTTATCCGGTTGTCAAATGCTTCTTTAACTTCAGTTTCATCTTGGACACAACCAGTTGATGTGAACTATGTCAGCTCATCCCCCAGTTCTCATGTCTTACAATGAAACCAAGTCTCCTGAAGGTCAAGGTAGCAGTGGCCTACGTTTCGGACTATTTTCACATTTGCTGGAATGGCTCCTGACCATTAATATAACTGTTAAACCAGAGAAAGCCAGTTTAGTTCGGAAAGTATCGTGAAATTGTTGGTTCTTTTTGTACTAGAGGATAATGACGTATGTCATGCGTATATGCGCATGATTATCCACGGATATTAACGTCCAGTATCATTTTTGCACTACGTATATAACAAGGATAATTTAATTACGATTACAATTTCAAGTGCTTAGTGCGATTTGAAGTCTTACGCTAACTGTAACAAAAATGCCTATTGAGCAAACCTTGTACTGGTAAAATTGAAGCGCATTTTTGGGCAGCATGACGAAGGAACTTTCCACATAACCTTCGACAATTTCGTTCGTCCTTATCTAGAGTACGGTAATATAGTATTTCCTCCCCCACTCTAAAAGGATAAGGGCACTGGAACGTATCCAATGGCGAGCCACGAAGTCAAATCCGAGACTCAAATTCAAGCCTTTGAAGAGCACCCCCAATCACTAAACCTTTACCCGTTAGATTGCAGGCGTCTTAGAAGTGACCTTTTAATTGCGTACAGCATCCTTAACACTTCTTCACATCCCCTTAAACACCTACTCAAGTTTAGCTTCAACAAAATCTAAGGGGTAAGACTCAGAGACTAGAAACAAAACTCAGGAGAACGGACTATAGACACAATTTCTACTCCTCAGGAGTGGTCAAGCGCTAGTCCAAGCGACTTCTCAGGAGTCTTTCAAGAGGAAACCTGACATATATTAAGGACTTGGGATAGTATTTTACTATGACTTACCAATTTCTTTCTCCTCATTTATCGTTAATATACCTATGTTCCTGCCTGGAGGTATTGGTAATCCACTAGCACTAGACATGGAGGCCCGTTAAGCGAAGGCTTCTTCTAATCCGTCCACAACCACTTGAACCATTCCAGGTCAAGAGAAATCTGAAGTAAAAACGTGTGAAAAAGCACCACGCCAACCCAAATAGCATTGAAAGCTTTTTGTATGAATTAGAGCCTATTATCTGGTACGACGAACGCAAGAGAAATTTAATGTATCAACACATGGAAACCACATTCTTTCATCAAACTGCGAGCTTGAGGTGATTTTGTAGTTCGTCCATAAAATGTATTCTCACTACGAAATTCTTTAAAGATGCTTGATAGTAGTGAGTTTCTGCTAAACATAGGGTTGAAATAAACTTCTAAAATTAATAATTACAAATAGTGGAAGTTTAAGTTGAAATCTCAATGTTTTTTAGCGGCAATACTACATTTGAGTTACCTAGAAGTTTGTGACGGCTTGTGATGTGTATATTATGTTCACATTGTAAAACTTAAATTTTTGGCCTTTACGGAGCTTTTAAATGAATTTCATACTGATAGGTATACCCACCTAGAGTTAATTAAGCTGTGAAAGTATTCAGGGATACTCGGTTATGTGTATACTATTATATTCGTATAAATTCTATCGTCTGGCTACATGGGTGCACAGTAGTTAGTAAAATTAACGTGTAAAATTTGTTTTTGGACACAGATTTCACCTACTTAGACATTTAATGAACACAGAAGTAGACATATCCAATCTCCCTATTGGGGGGGGCGATAAATTGTTCATTTTGCGGAAATGATGCCAAACCTCTATAATTCACGACTTGGTGAGTGTAGGACAACCAGGAATTCTATAAACTTAAACCAACCTACGGCCCTGACTAATTCCATCCACTCAGAATAATGAAAAAGAATAGAGAGATTGCCATACTTCATGCTACTAAAAAACCATAGCAGTTGTTTTCCTAAACTGTATTTTGCAGTAGTAGGTTCGGGACAGTCAGTCATTCAGGGAGAAACACAATCCAGAAAGGTAGGACATTTGAACCAAGATTTAAGGTCGATCATTTCTTGGATACCTCTGTACGTCCAGTCAGCTGAGTTCTATGACGACCTTATATAACAACGTTGTCCAACTTTTGTGTATTGATGCATCACAAGGTGATTAGCCTAATGAGCACTATTGTGGAGATAGACTTGAATGGCTTATTTTGTAAATAGTTTTTAATATTAGTTGTTCTTATTTTGTCAATTTTTCACTGTATGTATATTTATCATCAAATGACTGTACCTGTTGTTTTAGTGAATGGCCTTGAACGCAATTTCCGTTGTATTACTGACATAGCGTGATGTACCCCCGTTTGCTAACAAATACATTGCCATACACACATACCTTGTTCTATCTTCACTTGTGATTGAGCTAACTGCATTCTAAATCAAACATTATCTGCATTTATAGACTGTGGGTCGGAATATATCATACCTAACATTGGTTTACATTACTGGAGAGTCCAACAACCAAACATTTATAATTGTGAATTTTCAGTATCAGACCCAATCCGAACACGCATCAACTTGGTGAACTTAAGTAAAGTCCCAATTTTTCTGTTGTATTTGTAACAATTAACATTATTATTTACTCTTAATAACTTGGTTAATATTTTTTTACGTTCATTTCTGTCTTGTCCACCACACTATACCGACTTTCAGTATTAATGTAATACAGCATGTTGGATCTGTACAGAAGTTCACTTCATAGAAAAAATTAGGAAGACCCTTTAAAACTTTATCCTCACAACACCGCTGTTCCCTTCCCAGGTCCCGGTATATTGACTTGTTTGATAGGTGCTACCCTAGGCTTGCTATACAACAAAACACTGGTGTTTCCTGCAAATAAATAACCCATGGGCAAGCAGCTGCTCCATAACTGATCTCCAAGTCATCACTGAATCGATTTAATTTCACCTTCGCGTCGGGTCCGTCAATTCTCTTCTTGATCTCCCGAGACACCTCTGGAAACATCAGCGCAATCAAAAACACTCAGCTCTATTTTAGGTAGTTGTATACCTACCATAACAGGCGCCAGTAGCTTTATGCTCTTCTCTAATATTTCAGGTTTCTGCTTCATGTCTAAACTACGATCTTTCATGTCATCTACTATCGAATCAGAACTAGCGTCACTATTATTGTAATTAACCCTATTTAAGTCTGAATCATATGACATAAGGGTATCAAAAGATACTATGTCAAAAGGGACTCGTCATTTGACTTGACTTTATTGACACCAATCAGATTCGAGCTTGACTTTCTTCAACGTACATAAGACGAAAGTTGAACTGTCGTTCAGTGCTCTACAATTAAAAAATAAACACTTCTCTTCTGCATTACAAAAGCAGTATCATAATATCCAAATTGTTAATGGTAGACACGCGGATGCCTTATGCTTTAGCAATCATGCAACCTGTGAATCCATAATGCAGCGTGAAACGTGCATTACTTACGAATGATAGTGTAAAAATGTTAGCTGAATCAGGAACAGTTAAGTCTGTGAACACTTGCGAAACCAACTAAAAATAAGATAAAGAATAGTATAAAGATAAATATTTACCAGCAACTAATAAAAAAATATTCGATTATAGATCGTACGTGCATTTAACTCATCCTTTTTTGTTCCATTATGCACGCTTATTCACTTTATCTCTTGCGTCGTGCATAAAGCCTGGCTCGCAATACCCATCGCGTGTGTTATTTGGTTTTCTGGACAGGCGGCACATTAGAACCGTAAACACATAACATCTATAAATATATATGGACTTATGTTAGTTTGCTGCGAATTGTTCTGTAGAATTTGTCACTACTTATACCAATTTTACTTTTAGTTTCACGTAAGGTATAAGTTATTGCTAGTTTGGGTGTCAACACTTGGGCTAGGCATGCTTTGGTTGAATTCCGAAGATCATCACATGCAATCTCGGATAATCTGGTCGCCTGAGATTTTATAAACAGCTTCGGTTTGCGCACCCGGGCAGTATCACAGCCCTCACACACATCAAATGAGATTTGTGTGGCGCATGCGGCTTATTTACCTGATGGGAGATTTCTAGCTGTGTTTAACAGCTCAATCGTCTCGAGGATCAGCAGGCATTTGGTAGAGCAGCATGCACTGCATAGCCAACGTAGTAGTGGTTTGCAATACCTTTAAAATGCAGTCGATGTGTCCTGTGCACACATGATACTACTTGTTGGGGGTATCATATTACATTCAATCCTCGACTAGAAAGAAACATGGGTTGCCGCACCGATGTTTTGTTGGGGCTATTTAATTTGTTAATTGGACACAGAGAACAAAGAAATTTGTCAGCACCGGAAATAGCAAAAGCAAAAATCATTTATGGATAATGTCCTGAAAATTCTAAAAATGATGGACACTGAACATCAAAAAGTTTTTTATGTCGTACTCAAAAAATGAGTACGGAAAACCTGCTATACAAGTGAACTGGTTGGTCCACTAAACGAGAGCCGCTTGATAAATCTTTTTTTCTGCACTGACAATATGAGTACAATCCAATGAACTAATGTTAAACTGACATTATCGAGTAGTCTATTACTAGTAGCTCAATATTTAGTTTAAGTAAGTATTAAAGTAGCTTTCACATTTTAGGACATAATCGAAATTCTATGATTTACTCAGCAAGGAAAAAGTACCACCTTTTATTAGGGGAAAATGACCCATGTAACAGGCATAGTCCTGGCTACAAATATTTGTAAAATCCTATCAGGTAAGTTCGAACACATAATTATTCCTTTTTGAATCATGCCTTTGTACTAGACGTAAGTATTCTTGTCCTAACCTAATTAAAATCTTTACAGTTTAAAAGTTTCCGATGTTTCCAGTAGGTTCTGACCGTTTTGACATGAGACTTCGTTTACGTCAATCCACATCAATATTCCTCGGAACCCGTGGTAGGAGTTCATGGGTTTGGCAGCCATATCTTCCCGATTCATCCTTAAATTAAGGTCATATTTAAGTTTTAAAATTATCGGTAAAATTGATGTGACTTACGTTGGCATCGTTTATCCCTTTATGACGTTACATTGGTCGCAAAAGTTCTGAGTAACTAGTTCTACATAAAGGCAACACTTTGCCTCATAGTTAGATTGAATAAAATCAAAAGCCACGCATCTTGCCTTTTTAAGTCGACAATGTGATCATATAGAGCCCTGACTACGATGTCGGAGAATTTCAAAATGGTATAATACTCAGCAAGTAACCTATAATAATCAGTGAAGATTTGATTAGCTACTGGATGTGAATGAACAAACAGTTTGTTAACTCCTTAAATATGTGATTTCTTTCCTATCATTGCTTTCTACTCTTTACTTGTTGAATGTAGACTGCTTGTGTGTTGAGTAAAATATACTGCAATCAATCATAGAGAAATGCCCAAGAAAGGACCTAACTATTCTGATGGGAGATCTAAATGCCAAAGTCGGAATAGACAACGCCGGATATGAAGATATCATTGGACGACATGGACTGGGAGAGAGAAACGAAAATGGAGAAAGATTTGCAAACCTGTGTGCATTCAACAAATTGGTCATGGACGGCACAGTATTTCCACACGAAGCTACATGGATCTCACCGGACCACACTACAGAGAACCAGATAGATCATATTTGTATCAATAAAAAATTCCGAAGGACAATGGAAGATGTGAGAACCAGGAGAGGAGCTGACATAGCTTCAGATCACCACCTAGTTGTGGCCAATTTAAAACTGAAGCTATTGAAAAACTGGACAACTGGACAGACAACACTACAGAGGTTCAATACAGCTTTCCTTCGAGATACTGACAAACTCAATCAATTCAAGATAGCTCTCAACAACAGGTTCCAAGCCTTACCAGATCTACTGAAGGAAGAAGAAACTACTATAGAGGACAACTGAAAAGGCATCAAAGAAGCATCAACTTCAACGTGTCACGATGTTCTGGACCTAAAGAAGCATTATCATACGGAATGGATCTCTATGTAAACACTGGGCAGGATCAAAGAAAGGAAGAATAAGAAGACAGCAATTAACAACAGTCAAACACGAGGAGAGAAATTCCAAGCCAAGCTGAGTACATAGAAGCAAACAAGCAAGTGAAGAAGAGCATCAAAGTCAACAAGCAGAAATACGCAGAAAAACTAGCAACGACGGTGGAAAAATCTGCAAGAGAAGGAAATATGAAGCAGTTTTACGCTACAACGAAGAAACTAGCAGGGAAATATAGTAAACCAGAGAGACCGGTCAAAGACAAAGTAGGCAGACCAATCACTGAGATTCAACAACAGCGGGACAGATAGGTAGAGTAGTTCAAGGAAGTGGTGAATAGGCCGCCTACAATGAATCCACCGGAAATCAAAGCAGCACACACAAATCCTCCCACAGATGTCAATCCACCAACGACGGAAGAAATCAGAATGGCCATCAGACAAATGAAGAGCGAGAGAACAGCAGGACCCGACAATACAGTCTTGAGTGCTCGGAAAGGAAATTGGGTTAGGTACATTGACGACCTGAGAGCGTGACCGCAGTGCCCAAGGGACAACTGCTTGAGGTCGGTCACGCACGACCTTTTTATGAGTAATTTTTGTGTTAGCTCTGCACTTGTTGAGACATTACCGCCATACTCGGATATCCATGGGATAAAGCGAGATGTGCATTTTTAGGCTCGACCTTTTCTAACCCCACCCCTCCTTGTGGGAAGGCAGCATCGCTGTCATGCTGGTTGTCTGAATGAAACACCTTACTGATGTCACACCTCTGTACAGTCAGCAGTACGACTTCGCCTTCAGACCTTGGGTTTGTTACTTTTAGTCTTACCGCTCTTCAACCGACCTGACTGACATGGTAGTATCCGACAATATACCAGCTGAAGCACTGAAAACATACATCGAAGTAAATACAAGCATGCTTTACCTTCTATTCGAAAAGATTTGGGAGGAGGAACAAGTGCAGATGAACTGGATTGAAAAAACACCTCATCAAGATTCCAAGGAAAGGAGGTCTGTGCATTGCACTACTGTCAGTACCAGGAAAAGTGTTGCTGAACCGGGTGAAATATGCAGTAGACGCCCAACTTCGAGATCAGCAGGCTGCATTCCATAAGGATAGGTTGTGTATTGACCAAATTGCAACACTACGGATCATCGTCGAACAATCAGTTGAGTGGAACTCTTCAATGTACATCAACTTCATTGATTATGAAAAAACACTTGACAGTGTAGATAGGAGAAAATTATGGAAACTTTTTCGACTCTACGGAGTTCCTGAGAAGATTGCCAACATTATATGGAACTCATACGACGGACTACAGTGCAACGTAGTGCATGGAGGACAGCTTACAGACGCATTCCAAGTAAGGATCAGAGTCAGATAATGCTGTCTACTCTCTCCTTTCCTCTCTCGTGGTGGTCGACTGGATTATGAAGACCTCGACATCTGAGGGAAAACACGGAGTACAATGGACAGCTCAGAACCAATTAGATGATTTGGACTTCGCAGATGACCTTGCCCTCCTATCACATACACACGAATAGATGCAGACAAAGACAGCCAGTGTAGCAACAGTCTCTGCATCAGTAGGCCTCAGCATACACAAAGGGAAAACCAAGGTCCTCAAATTCAAAGCGGAAAACAACAATCCAATCACTCTTGATGGCGAAACAATGGAAGATGTAGAATCACTCACATACCCGGGAATCATAATCGATGAACAAGGAGGTTCAGATGCAGACGTAAAGGAGATGATTGTCACAGCAAGGGTCGCATTCCTACAATTGAAGAACATATGGAACTCAAAACAATTTTCAACCAATATCAAAGTGAGAAGCTTCAATACCAACGTCAAGGCAGTTCTAATGTATGGAGCTGAAACTTGGAGAACTACAACAACCACAATCAAGAAAGTACAAGTATTTATAAATGGTTGTCTACGCAAGATACTCAACATCCATTGGCCGGATACAATCAACAACAGCTTTCAATAGGAGATAACAAATCAGCTTCCAGCTGAAGAAGAAATTAGGAAAAGACGATGGAAATGGACAGGACATACATTATTCAAATCGTCAAACTGAATCTTGAGGTAAGCCCTAACTTGGAATCATGAAGGGAAGCGGAAAAGAGGAAGGCCAAAGGACACATTAAGTTGCGAAATAGAAGCAGATATGAAAACGATGAATTACAACTGGACGGAGCTAGAAAAGATTGCACAGGACAGGGTTGGATGGAGAATGCTGGTGAGCGGCCTATACTCCTTCACGAGGTGTAACAGGCGCATGTAAGTATACTCTGGGCTTCTATTTTTACTCGTGAATTGTGTATCTTGTATAACATGGCACAGTCTGTGTGTAGCATATCGATTAATTATCCAGTTTGGTGGTGTAATAAATAAAGACTTGGTTAGAATAATCCAGTTTACTATATTAAGCAAAATCAGACACTGCATTTATAAAGTATGAAAACATTTCATTGGATGCACCATTTCCTTAAATTATCTCTTACAAGTTCCATCGTTCTTTCATTCCTGCTGCTACTCGAACTGCTTCTACTTTTCTCTCTTTTCTTATTTTCCTCTTCTGTCAATAAGAATCCTACCTGCGATACTTGATTCATACTACTTATATCTTGTGGTGTCGGTTATTATTTTAAATCCATGTACCTTATTCTAGCTTTCGAACAGACCAATCTATTCATTCTACTTGAGTCATATTTTGACCTTAATAATTATTCGCTTATCCATCTTGGCTGATTTTTTATCAACGCATATATGTATGTACATTTCTTATCCTAATCATCACATGTTTGTAACTTATTTTTGTGTGACTATAAATATTGATCGACGCTTGACTAAAGTAAAGGGAGTTGGCTCACAAGCCTTCTCCACTGCGCGTCGTTCCGCTTCGCTTGTCCGATATTTTGTCTGGATCAAAGATTGTGTGAAATATACGTATTCGAAATTCATTCTCGTATTTGGCTTATTTAGTTCCGTTATTGACTAACTCAATTTAAATCAATGATTATATACGAAGATAGGCGACATATTTTAGTTGCCCGTGATCTGACTACAAGTAGTTCGTATAAATGATTGTTATTCAAATATATGTAATATGATATCAACCTCTAAAAGAAACTTCTAACTAAATTGATCGTTTTTCGAACACTGTAAATATAAGACTAGTCATTATCGTCAGTAGGAATAAATTATAGAGGGTAGTTAATAAAAAAAGGTTTTATCATATTTTTTCTCTCGTTTCTGATGTTGGTATGAAAAGTTTAGCTAATTTACTGACGTAAATATCCATGAATTTATTTGGACTTCTTCATGTGTCTTACCAACCAACCGATTTTCCAAAGAATCATGAAATTAAAATTAAATAGGAGGAGACATACTACTTATTAAATAATGGTTAATAAAACTAAAAGGCGTGTTTTCAAAGCTTTGTTTCGTATTTTAAATTTTCTCACAGGTTCATTATCCTTTGAGAATCATGATGATTCTGTCACTTACGGATTGTGTAATCTATATTTAAATGATAATTTAGAACAAATGACAAAACTTCGTGATGGTCAGATTTTGGAAACCTATTATGATAAACTAAATGAATGTATAAAAGATATGGAAGATTGTGGCGTACGGCTAAAGTCTATGGTTAGTGTTTTTGTTCTCTGATTGCTTTATTTTCGTCATAGTATTGCGTTTATTCTTTTTATTTATCGGTATGGTCCACATCACAATCCGTTGATCGTTTTCCAACCTATTGGATGACCCGAAAACACCACATTCCTGAATCATTTTTTACAGTTCCACTTAAAATTTTCACACTATTCATTGTTCAGTGATATATTCGTACTGTTTCTCAACTCCAACTCCAATAGGAAAAACGAAGGGACTTCTATTTTTCTCTTTCATACTACAACAACTAGAGTAAGGACTTCAGTTTCCTAATAGGAATTTTGCTAACAATTTGCTTACATCTTTCAGCTACTATCCCCATGTGTCTATTATCATGTATGCTTAATACTGCATTAAAGCTTACACATATATTCTTACTAGCTCAAATATTGGCCTATTCATACACTCGTTCTCTCTCGTTGGTATTGCCATCATGTGCGTAGTGGCTTTGTGATCTGTGCTGAACAATCGTAAGCTGTAGCCATTGCTTCGCATTGTTTTCTGAAATTTGTGTGCCATTGGGAGTTATCTAATAACGGTTTTTAGGACAAGTGATAAACGAAATTCCCCACTAAACTGTAAAACTAATACATCATTGTCCCTTATTTTGTTGTGCCTTTTTTGAAAACGCTCACCAATATTTACCAGTACACAATACAATAACAGAAAAGATACATAGGATATCCGTTTATTGACCTAGTAACTCATGTCTATTGTCCGAAACAAAATAGTGTGTTCGTTCTGCATTACTGAAGCTGCTGACCAAATAATTGTTAAAACGTTAAACTCTACAAAGCATAGTTCTACTTGTGGTGATATATAAGTCAAATAGATGATTTGTCAGAAGATCTAAAATATACCGTCAGTCTTGAATGATCAATAACTTTTGAAACGGAAGTCAATAAGAAGTTATCACATGATTTATGAACCTTTGCATATTGAATGATTTATGACAGTAAACATGAAATAGCCAGGTTTTTTAATCTATGATTTTTAGCGTTAGGAGTACGGTTAGAGTAAGAGAATACTTTGTTTTTATTAATGCACAGGTTACCCGTCCACGGGTTTTAAATCCCATGCACAAATCCTAAAGGTCGTCATCTGAACTGGGATCGAATTGGCACTGTAAGTTATTTCCATCATTGTCTAGTTGTATAATAATGATAATAAGCCATCTTTGTTTTATTATGTGTATGGTAATTTGTCGATGTCTTTTCACCGCTGATTTGTTTGATTAATGAGTTTTTGTTTAAATTTTTAGCTAGACCAATTGAATGCTTTGAGACAACTAAGTCAAAATGAATCAATTTACCAGCAGTATGCCACATGCCAATCGACATTGGACTCATCCGTAAAAGTAAAAAGTGATTCTGCACTAGATGATAACAGTTTGTCTACTTTAAATTCGACTCGATCATATCCATTAACATCATTAAAACAACAAACACAACAACGGAAGTTCAGGGAGACTTACTTATGCGAAATATTGAACATTGAAATAAACGGACTAATCAAACAAATTGAACGTGATTCAAGCATTCGAAAATATTTAGTGAAAATTATATTACCTAGCACTTCACATTATTTTCAAGTGAATACTTTTGTTCAGGATAATGATGATGCTGTCCTAACAAAATTTGTGTCAATTTGGCGTCATTTTGGACAATATGTTTCATGGTTTACTGCTATATCAATGTCTGAGCATATTTTGAAAACTTTCAATAATACAAACTGAATGAATTCATATAGAATCATGTATATATTTATGCACCTTTTTTGTACCAGAAATGAGTATATTATTTTTGCTGTGTTGGACGTTTTTATTTCCACACCACATTCGATTGGTATGATTGTCATTAGAATATATTTGGACACAGTTTTCATCACAAGACAACAGTCCTCCATACGATACGCTACTGATTAATGTATGAAGTGCAGACATTCTCTAACAAAAATCAATGAAACCGAACTCTAAATTATGATCAGTAGGTTGAAAAAATTACTCCAATTTGACAGTGAACATCTGTAATGAAAATAACGGAGCGTTAGAATAAATTTGTACATAAATGCCCAATGAAAAATACCATGACTGTCAGTCAGTGAAGTCGAAGTGGATGTGTTGGTACGAGAGGAGACAAAAAGTAGCAGTAGCGATGTACATAGTCACCAAGATCCGTTGCAATTGATGATAGTGTACATCAGGAGGATCATCAGATGACTTTGCAATGGTCTCCAATTAACCCATACCCCGAGCTATATATTCACACACTTCGTGTTGATAAATGGAAACGTATTAAGGTCGTTTATGTTCGTCCGTAATGTGTTTCAATGAGAACTTCTGAATAAGAATGAGTGGAACTTCGTGTTGATTGTGTGCGATAGCATGGTTTGTTTACCAGGTCGGTTTGCAGTGATCACATGTTAGTTGTCGAATCAGGCCTTGTTGATTACCGATACTAGTATCTACCTACAAATCAGTGAGAAACTGAGGATACGGATTCTTTTCCTTGTTGCACACTAACGTGTGGTGTGGATTTGGCGATGATTTCTGACGTAGTTGATAGCGTGATTGTGGGCTTTACTTTACGATGGTTTGTTAGCTGTCTTCCACTCAAAATCGTTCACCACGCATGCAACATTGGCGTTGGTCTGGTGAGTACAGTATACATCCGCCGGTGATTATGATGCTTACGCTAGATATTGTAATGTGTTATGCTTACAGCACAGCGTAACTAATTAGGGTGTGTTCATAGATATCGAGATAAAGCCATCTTATTCTCATCTCACAGGTGGTGGTAGAATGATGGGAGTATTTATCGATTTGTGGTTAGATCGGTGGACGTGTTTTTTATTTGGAATTATTCGTTTGGTATCAGGGTAGGTGGTTAATGCAGTGTATAGTCTTCGTTGATTGTCCATCTAATATCATTATCTTCAAAGGCGGCTTGACAAAGGGTGATTGAATGCAGTTTCTTCTATTTGCTTGCCTCTACTTCTCCGCCATCTATCCATTAACTTTTCTTTAGACATTTGAAATTCTATCATATCCACGTTTTATATTCGGACTATAGAACTTGTAGTACAAGATGGTCCAGCCTTTCTTAAAAAAAATACTTCTTCATGGTCTTCGAGAAGCAGTACATAAGACACTGAATGGTTTGTGTGCGAAAAATATCGAACCGATTCACTCTTTAGCATATGGTACACCTATTGTTATGCCATTGAAGTCGAATGGCAAGACCTCCAGAATATGTGGCGACTATAGATTAACGCTGAACACCCGTTTGTAGAACCAAACATGGATGACGGTGAAGTCCAAAGATATCCTAAATCGACTTCGTGATTTTAAAATGTTCTCAAAAAGTTGACTTAAGAGATGCTTGTCGTCAAATCTTTTTAGACCAATCCTTACCTATTGTGACGAGAATTAACACACCTTTTGGTCTGTTCAAATGCAACTTTCTCCCATTTGGTTTCAGTTCTCCAATTATATTTCCCCGACCGAAGCTGCTACCTTGACGCGGTGGTCGGGCTTGCCTATCGTGATGACCCAGCCGAGTTATATTAGCTGGAACATATGTTTCTGTAGGTTCTACCATGCCAGGAAGGTCGATTGGTGAACGGTAAGACTAAAAGCAGCAACTCAAGGTCTGAGGGCGAAGTCGTACTGCTGGCTGTAGAGGGGTGTGACAGCAGTAAGGTGTTTCCCTCGGACAACCAGCATCTGCAGCGATGCTGCCTTCCCACAAGGAGGGGTGGATTTAGAAAAGGTCGACCCTAAAAATGTCACACCTCATTTTACCTCACGGATTTCCGTCTCCGGCGGTAAGGCCCTTTGAAGAACGGAGCTAACACGTCAAAAACCTTCCACGAAAAGTCTGCGCGCGACCGGCCTCAAGCAGTTGTCCCTTGGGCTCTACGGTCACGCTCCCAGGTCGTTAAGACAAACACTAATCCAATTTTATTTTCAGGTTCCTCAAGAAATACCCTTCCACGGTGTGGGCAGCCGGGAAGTGACATCAGCCCTCATACCCGTAACAGCACACGAGACCAAGTTGGTCACATTCAAATCCTTCCTACACCTCCTAATACCTCTCTTATCTCCATGACTAACCCTCCTCACGTTTCTCTATCACCTCGCACAGGTAGGGCAAACGATTCGAGTACGTGAAACGCTATTCCTGGTCTCTTGAAACCACACTCTAAACTACACACTGGAGCTTTTAACGTCCGAACAATGTTCAAAATAAGACAGCAGGCTTCCTTAGCTAGAACTTTAGAATCTAGCGCCATCGATGTGTGCTGCGTCTCTGAAACGCGCATACAAGATCCGAGTAGCGTCATTCATTTGACCTCACCATGCCAAAATAAAGAACCGACTCGATTCACACTTCGTGTATCTGGAAGCCCTGATTCTGCTTCCCGTGGCCTCGCCGGCGTAGGCATAGCAATGAGTCCTAGAGAAGAACTAGCTCTCTTAGAGTGGATCTGTAAAACTTATGGTCTACTATGATATTAGTACTGCTCTAATAATAGACCTAATCCTAAATTTGTAGATTTGTCATGATATGACTGCCTAATCTATAAGATCTTACGTGGAAGTCACACCATCGACTACACCAACTCACTGTATCGTATCAATTACCAATACATGATGTAGGACAAGGTTAGGCTAGAGAAAGAACAATATATTTAGTATGAATAGAAGATATAAGGTAACATTCAGCAGAGACCACGCCTGCATGACCGAGCCATGCCGTTCGATCAACTCTAGTCTATTCAATTCATTATTCGCGCCTTCTCCATCGTTAGGTATTTCTTCGCGTTAAATATTGAATACCTATTTTCCGAGTAATCTCGTATTCAGCTTTGAGGATAGTGTGGTTATGGTTCAATGCCACTACACTACTCTCCCACCAGAATCAACGTGGTGTTGGTTCGATACCCAATTGGATGGGATTGTAGTGTGCCGAAGGTTACCAAGAATAGTAAGATTCCTCCGGGTGATGACAAACTGAAAGATAAATCAAAAAGAAGACGGCAGCATCTGGTCGGGAAATACATGTAATAATTTTAAAATATCTGCCTTCATGCTTAACACGCTTACAATGAAAATTTGAGTGATTATTTGAGCTATAAAAAAATGGGATTACAATAATAATAATAGTAATAATAAAACGATGCGTGTGTAATAGCCGTTGGTTGATAACTTAACGTATAGGTAGTAAGTATTTTGTGTTTAGAAATATTAAAGTTATGAATATTGTAGAAATGTTAATATTAGTACTACTTTTAGTCTAACTTATGAAATCAAATAACGATTATGCCGGTAAGTTGTCCATATGAGTCGATTTCCAATTGCATCTGTATTAGTAGGCTAACTGAAGGAACAAAAGTATTACCGTGGAGAAGAATTCCAACTAGTGTTCCAGTTAGTTTGATACGGTTTGTTTAGTTACGGGGAGATTTTCTCAACCTCATTTTTACTTGACCGTGATAGAATTTATTAATACTACTAATACACATGAATGGTTATCAAAACAAAATTTAAATACGTGAGTGGTAATTATGTGAATTTTGGACAGATAGCTAGCAACAAATCGTTAAACATGAGTGTATTCTTAAGAGACATGCTCTAGACTCAATGTTCTGATCTGCGGCAGACTATTTATTTATATCTATACTTGCCGGCTGATTGGGTATACAAGTTAGTTGAAAGTATGCAGTTTATCATAAGGCGGAATACGATTTAATTGAGATATAGTGGTTATACGTTATTGAAATTAGTTAAACCTATGTGTCATATTACTAAGTGATGTGGTGCTGCAAGGTGTATTTGGCTAAATAATTTTTTTACAAGATGATTAATAGTGAGTGATGCTCATGTGATTATCAGGGAGAACATAAGTTGTAACCAAGGGGAGTGCACTCCCAACTAATGCCTATGATAATAGCTTGAACCTTAGTCAGTGTTGGGGTAAATTCGACATTGATGTTTTCAGTTTGCAGGATATTTGCTCGACTGCTTATACTGATTATTTGCATGCATGATTGTGTCGCTAAACCATCAATTAGACTGACAAAGTTTTGAGATATTTACTGAATGAACAACTGATAGAGAAACATACTGTAATCATCTGAAGAAAAACAACACTAGTGATAATTATAAGTCAATTTGCTGACCTATTTTGTTAATAGTTTCATTAATTTTATCAATCATGTTACGTGATTGTCAAGTCATGACAATGCTTTATGAAGATATCCTGAAACTATTATGTTTAATTAGTTATAGTGTTGATTGAAGATTGGCCAGTGGAAAAATAGGCATTGTTGTTTTAGGTGATTCAAAATTATCAGAAATTTATAACGTTAAAGAATCCGAGACGCCTAATTTAATTATAACTTTCAATTCAGAAATATTTGTTTAATGTTAATTCTAGTAGGCTACGGAGTTTTGATTTTAAAAGTTTGTTCAACCAACAACTACCTGAGGATTTAGTAATTTTACTAGTGCAGTTGATAGTACCTAAATTTTTAATCTTATTATCTAAATTATGTTTGCATTTTAGACTGCTAATATGATAAACCAATCCATAAATCCAAATACGATTAGCAACAACGACTATGATGGGTTTATGGATAAATGTTAAAGGCGATCCAGATGATTTCTAAATTTAGAAGACATGGAGATATAGTGTAACGTATGTATGCACCAGGTTAACATGCAGGTTGTTT